AAACTTCATGCATTCTTGTATATTGCATTTGTCATAGAAATATAGTCAAATAGTATACTAGGATAGGTTCAATTCTACTCGAAAGAGATTGTTGGATAGGTTAGAAACATTGATTCTTCAAACGATTTATCGTGTTGAAATTGTGAGATAGTGGTTAAGAGTGAACACGAGGTGAAGGACAAGTGTAGTAAATTCTAAGAATCAGAGGCGAGGTAATTCTAAACGAGAGTGGAAAAGTTGATTGCATAAATATTGTAATGCAAAAAATTTCACTTTTAGAGGTAGTACAAAACGACATTCAGTCATTCACTGTCTTGTATACTCGTAACATATCTCAAGACAAACAAAAATAACAGAGAAGTACAATGGAGAAATAACATAAGTAACCTCAAAATGTCATTGGTTGCAATCTTTGTCACGATAGTACTGGTATTTTAAATTTGATTTGATTGTCTTGCAAATTGGAACTTCACTACGTCGGAACCCCTATGTCCATAAGAAATTTATCTTACTATGAGTTAAGTGCAGTGCAATTAGAATGACTTCTGATGAAGTATATTTTACTGCAGAAAGTTGAGACTAGTGTTGTGAAGAGCAACCTCATCCCTGAATGGAACAAGAAGTTTAATTAATTACATTTAAAATTATGTAAGTTGTGATGTACATGTAGCACAACAGTAAGATAATAGGCCCTTCGGATAGCATATATAAGATTTAATTTGATTTTTCTTTGAATAAAATCAAAATATTTTTCGTTTTTCTTGTTCACCATAAGATAGCTGCCTTGTACAGATTTATGGAGAAGATTGCTCAGTGATAGAGTTGCTGGCATCTACGCATGCATCACTGCTTAGTTAGCCTTGTGGGTCCCAATCATGCCACATAGGACATACTGATAAGAAAGTTGATTTTTCTGCTTCAATACTCTGCACGAGGGAATATACCATTATCACAAATTTTTGAAAATGAACGAGGGATATATGGTTCAAATAAAACAAAGTAAAAATATCAATGCATTTGGAAGCTTGTTCGCAGATATTTTTTTCCTTGCAGATTGATATACCAGTGTAGGGTTCTGCTTCATTGAGCGAATGTTATCTTCCCAACTTCTTATTTTGGTCTAAAAATAATTTAATTCCTCCAAGCACCAAAATTTGCAGCAAAAATGGCTTCCACTTCTACTCCATCACAATCTCTACACCACCACATTACTGCAAACACAAACTTCCCATCATTTTCAACAAACAAACCATTCCATATTACTTATTCATTTTCTTTAAACAAATCTTCACTACGTGTACAGTCCTCAAGCACTGCAAAGTATAATGAAGTGGTGGTGGATGAAGAAATGGACAAGATTAGAAGGCTACAAAATGGATCCGACGTTCGTGGGGTCGCTTTGGAAGGCGAAAAAGGTCGACCAGTCGACCTAACTCCGCCAGCCGTGGAGGCCATTGCAGAGAGTTTTGGAGAATGGGTTAAGAATGGATTGGAGAAAGAAAAGGGTAGACCGGTGACAGATGTGAAGATATCACTCGGACGGGATCCAAGAATTTCGGGTGCAACATTAAGTGCAGCTGTTTTTGCAGGTCTTGCTAGGGCGGGGTCTGTGGCATTTGACATGGGACTTGCGACCACACCAGCTTGCTTTATGAGTATATTGCTGCCTCCATTTATGTATGATGCTTCTATAATGGTATAGCATAGAGTTGACTCGCTCACTCACTATTGTTATTAAGCATTTTATTTCTTTAGTAATCGTTTGTGTCATCATAGTAATCGCCGTCGTTGCACGACATAATCTAGTGAAATTAGCATATCGAGTCAGCTTGCGACTGTTTCATTTAAAGTTATTATACTTTTCGTAATAATTAAATATAAAAATATATTTCGACGAAAAGTCTATTAAAATATTTTTTTTAAGCATTCATAAAGACTCCATTTTGCGGTAGTATTCCCTTTCAAAACCTAGCTTAGCACTCGCAATTTCAACTTATCTTTGTTTTGATTTTGAACCCCTAATGTCAAGGGAAAATTTCAGAGTTGGTCCCTCACCTATGGTTTCTAAAGCATGTTGGTCCTCAACATTTTAAATTGAACATTTTAGCCATTGATGTTTTTTTAGGAGTGGAGAGGAGAGTGGTACCCATCCTTGAACCCATGGACCTCAATTGTGAAAACACCAATCTTAACAAACTATTAAAATGTGAATTGGTATCATCGACATTGTTGCTGTACAAATAGTCTAAGTGGAGAAATTCTATCCAAATGTTCGTTAAGTAGTTTTACTGAAAAGATTATTTTACACAAAATAATTATTATAAAAAGAAAAAAAAAAGAAAGAAAGAAAAGAATGAATAGGTGACTCGTGTGTGGGGCAAAACAATGAGAGGGTGGAGGTAAAAGGTTCGGGATACGATGGTACGGCGGGATGGATATGGGGGTGGTAGGAGAATTAGATTTATTTATTTATTTATATATTTCTTCCGTTATTTATTTTATACTATAATTACTTGTGTTTACTATTTTATCTTCAAAATAGTACTTTTAGCAGAAAATTTAACAAGAAACGTCCATTGAGCTTACTTATACAATAACAGTTCAAGGTTAAAGACTAAAATGCTTTATTTTAAAGTTAGGAACTAACTTATTACATAGATCATAAGTTGAGGACCAACTTTTAAATTTCTCGACTGTTGAAATTAATAAAAAATATATACTCTTTCATTTGAGAAAAGTCAAAATTAATGTTACATAACGGTCAAATGGGGATTGATCTTGAGATAAATTATAGCTAAAAAATTTTCTCAAAGAATCACAGCTTAATATTGCATTGGAGATCATGTTAATGAAATGCAATTTTTATCTATGTTGGACAGATGACGGCATCTCACTTGCCATATACACGAAATGGGTTGAAATTCTTCACCAAAAAAGGAGGTTTGACGTCACCGGAGGTGGAGGAAATATGCGATATAGCTGCTCGGAAATATGCCAACAGGCTTGCGAAGGTATCGAGCGTGCTTCAGACCCCACCGATGAGAGTCGATATCATGAGCACATATGCAGCTCATCTCCGAGATATCATCAAGCAAAGAGTCAACCATCCATTGCATTATGACACTCCTCTTCAAGGATTTCAGGTTCTCTTAAAAACTTTTTATATGGCAACAAAAATTAAGTTCAAAATGGATCATAAAAGGCCTGCCCCTTTTCCTTTTAACTACGTTGTGAACCAGGGGCATGGAGTCACCTGCCCCACACAAGATTTTCAAAAAATTCCTTCAATTTTGCCCCCCAGAATTAAAATCTTGTGAAATTTGTCCCCCCAACTCTAAAATTTTAGCTCTGCCGTAGTTGTGAACCTTGATCGCTCTTAATTAGGAGGCAATTGTAATGGCGTCCTAATCTCGACAAGTTTGTCATCCTATGGACCATATGAAACACCTTCAAATTTCATACTGAAACGTAGTTACTGAGATTTCAATTCAAGTCTTTATATAAAATTGAGCTCTAGATCAATTGACGAAAGTAACATCTTGAAACTTTAAGTTCTTAGTCCCACTTCTTAATTTCATGATAATTATTTTTGTTTCCATTTGTGGGTTTGTTAAATCGTAGTCATTAGTGAAAAATACTTGTAATTAGCGGTGGCAAAAAAAACTCGGAGGCTTGGACGGCTCTGCTCGAAAAAAGTCCGAGCCGGTGGAACCGAGCCCAGGCTCGGGTGAGTCCCACTCTGGGGAGTCGGCTCGAGCCCGGCCCGTGGCCCGAGCGAGCCTCCTATTAAAAAAAAATTTTTTTTTTTTGAAGACATCAAGCTGCCTACCTACTGCCTACATGCACCAGGCAGCTAAGAAAAAAATAATAATAATAATAATAAAAAACCAAAAAATTCTAGCCAGCTCGGGTCGAGCCTCAGTTTTTTTGGTCGGGCTCGGCTCGGTCCAAAAAAAGCTCGGGCTCAGCTCGAGCTTTTTTTTCCTGCTCAGCTCGACTCGTTGACATCACTACTTGTAATTCTTAATGAATAAAATACTTTTAATTCTAAAGGACTCTTACTCACATTTCATGGGATCATTAGTTGAAATTATGAAAGTCTAATCTATTGCCACAATATTTTATAATAAGATTGTAGCACATAGATACTATGAATTAAATGTTGATTATAAAATAAGTTAGCCTAAAAAAAAAAAAAAATTGGGCATGTTTTCTACAGAAAAATGGAAATAACAACAATCACCTATTAAGTACTAATTCGTAAAATCGCACACTCAGTTAGATAAATAAAAAAGAGTAGCTTTATTCACACTACGGCTTTTTAGTTTGTGGCACTACATTTTTAAGGTCGCCAACTTTTGTTCGTTGTCGCTTTTACGTATCCTCTTTATCAGCATTTATATTTAACCTTCAATTAATTAGCAAATCTTATTAGTGATGATGATTTCTATACAAATATTCTATTCGCATGCTTACAATGAGGAATAATTTTTTTGTGGAACTTTTGCGTTATTAATATCTTTTTTTTTTTTTTTTTAAATATGAGGGGCGTATAAGTCTGTTATGCCCCCTAATGGAATTTTTGGATGAAACTGTCATCAGGAAAATATGTGTTAATTAATGGAAAATCGATGATAACAATATGATAAACAAAGTTGGGGATACAAGTATGAAAATATGCAAATGTTAGAGACCTTCATTGCAATTAAAATATAGCGTAATAAGCAAAACTATGGTGTTAATAATCCAATGAAAAATTTATTTAGCCACTGTTTGATTTAAATGAAAATAAGATTTTTAGTAGATTTTGATAAAAGTTGATGGAATATGTGATTATGTATGATTAAAATTAATTATTGAAATTGACTTAAATTTTAATTCAAATTTTGTATCTGGACCAAATAGGGACTTAGTTATATTCAACCTCTTCCCTCACGTGAAGGACCTATTCATTTTTTCAAACATAGGCCTAATTGGTGCAATTTTTAGAATTAATTATTGAAATTGACTTAAATTTTAATTCAAATTTTGCATCTGGACCAAACAGGGAGATCGGCCATTGGGCCGGAGTCCTACACTCAAGACAGCAAGTCCGGAAACTCCATAACTAGAGGAACTTTGTTATATTCATACCTCTTCCCTCACGTGAAGGACAAATTTATTTTTTCAAACATATGCCTAATTGGTGTAATTTTTATGTATAAGTAGCAGTGACATATGGTGACATTCCTTTACTTTGTTACCATGCTAAACTACTTTATTTAAAAACTTGAACTTCTAGGGGATGGAAGAATTTATTTGCTTATAACAAGTTCATTCACAATGCAGATAATTGTAAACGCTGGAAATGGATCGGGAGGGTTCTTCACTTGGCATGTCTTAGACAAACTTGGAGCTGACACCTTTGGCTCTCTCCACCTCAATCCGGACGGGATGTTTCCCAACCACATTCCCAACCCTGAGGACAAAACTGCAATGGCCTTAACAAGAGCAGCCGTGCTAGAAAACAATGCTGATCTTGGCATTGTTTTTGACACAGATGTTGATCGAAGTGGTGTTGTTGATAGCGCAGGCAATCCCATAAATGGCGATAAACTGATCGCCCTCATGGCTGCTATTATCTTGAAGGAACACCCAGGTACCACTGTTGTAACTGATGCGCGTACAAGTATCGCACTTACTAGGTTTATTAATGAAAGAGGCGGACACCATTGTTTGTATCGAGTTGGCTATAGGAATGTGATTGACAAGGGTGTCCAGCTTAACAAGGATGGAATTGAAACACATCTTATGATGGAAATCTCTGGTCATGGTGCCCTCAAAGAAAACCATTTTCTCGATGATGGTAAGAATTTTCTGCCCCTTTCTGCTTCATTTTGTTGCAAGAATCTGTGGCTAGATCCTTAACAACTACAATCTACGTTAGTTTTGATTACTCTTCCCTTTTCTAACCTCTTCAACTCATATTTTGTCACTCTTTTGAATTCTTCTTTTAGATCTACGCAAAACTTGTCGCAACTTGAAACTAGCTAAGTTGTTTGCGTATGAATATATTCGGATTAAATTATGAATATATAGAAATAAGTGGATAGTACTTTTGAATCCTACAAAACGTGTGGATAGATAGTAGGTTTGACCGATTATATTTATAAATTAAAAAGGCGCCGAACAAGAGAATCGTTGTTAGCTCCACCTTTGAGCATATATTCTCATTTCTTATCTTATCCATTTTACTTTACCCAGTCATCTATCTTAACACGATCATATTCGATACATTTATCTTGTGCATATCTTGCCCTTTAACATATCAACACTTGTTACAATAAAGCATAACAGGTCTAATAACTGATTTGTAGAGCTAAACTATCTTATTTCCTTGACAATAAGAAAGTGGTTATTTCAAACTTTCTTGTGTGTATTAATTGAGTAGTTTTAATTTTCTTTTTCAAGATCTGGTTCCTGACTCGTGTCTATAAAATCCATAGGTGCTTACATGGTAGTAAAAATTATAATTGAAATGGTAAGGATGAAGCTGGAGGGATCAGATAATGGAGGAATTAGCAGTCTCATAAAAGATCTTGAAGAGCCATTAGAATCTGTAGAGCTAAGAATGAATATACTCACCGAGCCAAGATATGCAAAGGCCAAAGGCGTGGAGGCCATTGAAACGTTCAGAGATTACATTGAGGTATGTAGTTCAATTCAAAAATAACAGATAGTCGGTCGACATTGCTCTTTTAATTGCTAAGTTCATATACATATATTAATAAAATATTGGAAACTTTTCTACCTGTAGCAAGGAAGAATACCAGGGTGGGAATTAGATTCCTGCGGAGATTGCTGGGTTAGTGAAGGCTGTCTTGTGGACTCCAACGACGCTCCAGCCGCCATTGATGCCCATATGTACAGGTATCATATAATTACAATTGATAGTTTTCCTCCAAATCGGGACATGAAAATGGTTAATTAATAGACTGTTAGGTCCCAAATCAACAGAT